CAAGAGTTCAACTTACAATGACTCAACTTAATTGATTCCAGGAGAACCGTTGTAAGTCATAAGTGCAGGGGTCGCCTGCACTTATGACCCAATTTATATTCTCTATAAATATTTGAAGAGCATCAACACTGAGGTTAAGAATTGTTCAAGGAAGAATAATTAGAGATTGAAGTTAAGCAAGGAAATCTTTGGGCTGAAGAACAGGAAAAGATTCTAGACAATTAGGTTTATGTCTTATTGGACGTAATGGAGTTGTAATGAATGGAGTGAGAGTTTCAGCTAAATACACTTGGCAATAGGGATGTTAGCGATTAATTGAATAGTCATGTAACTGTACAAAATGTTATCAGTTACAGGACTATTTGATAGTCCCTAGGGGTGGGGCCCTCAGCCACTGTGCTCTTGGCCCCACTCCCAGGGAGCCCCCTGCCATCCCACGCTACTACCTCTGTATCGGGGGCAGCAGTGCGGGGTGGCAGGCAGGAGCTGGTCTACTGGGGGAGCTGGTTTACAAACTGGCTCCCCACACAGACAGGCTCCCTCCCGCCTGTTCCCCCATGCTACTGCCTCTGATACAGCTCTCTGCAGACAGAGGCTGAGTCGGCATCCCAAAGAGCAGCCTCTGTCCCCCATAGCAAGCCTGAACCCACCGCGGACAGAGGCTGCTCCATGGCAGCTGTAGGCAGGTCACGTGAGCCAATATATGCAGAGAGCTAGCTTGAAAGCCATCTTCCGGTGTGTTCTGGCTACCGTCTGCTTACCTCACCCTGCATGCTGTTGCCTCTCTATCAGGGACAGCAGTGCCAGGAGGGTGGAAGCGGCTCTGCGGATCTAGTGCTTCAATTTTAATGCAAGTACAATCTAATGTAATCAGTATCTTATTTTTATGTTATGGCCTCAGGCCCCGACACTCAGCAAGCTGTACATCAGAGATAAGGTCAGAAAGTAGTCCATGATTTTGTGCTATATCTTGTTTTTCTGTATTTATTCTGTATCTCAGATAAAGTAAACAGACCTATACAGAAAGATAAAAAATACAGTCTTCGGCTGTTGGCATGTTGCTAATAAGACCACTGGTCCTACATTTCTTCAGACTTCTACTAACATATGGTGATCTTATATGGTGAAAAAGTTTGCACACTCAAGTTTTCAAAGTAGACACACAAAACGCACAGAACAAGTTGTCACCGTACCTACTCTTTACTCAAATGACAGTTTAGAGATGGTCCCCTCCCACCAAAAAACAAAAAAAAAATGCTCCTTTCTAAAATCTACCATTGTCCTCTTCAAAATGTATGCAGAGATCTTCACTTAAGTATAGAGGGAAGAATGCTGGTACATATTTTTTACCCATGTTGACATTAGAATCTTACTACAAGCCCTTTTCTATCATTTAAGCATAAGAAATATGCTCAATATTATTTTTAGTATAATGTAAAAAAATTAAGTTTGCAGTATATTAATTGTATTATAGACTTACCAGACTAACAGGAAATAGGTGACCTGTTACTAAAATGTTAGAGACTCCTGATTCATCTGTCACCAACTGCACCTAAACTAGAGACAAGTTCACTAGAAAGATTTTGTATTTCCAGTAGGTGAACTATTTACCCCTCAAAAGGTTTGATTAAACAGCTTATCACTAAGGATATTCTATCTATAGGATCAAAGAGATACTCTAATTTAAACCATCTGATGTGCATTTTCATTTGATTTTCCATCCAAAGACATTCAAATTTCTAACTGTTTCTTACAGCAGTGATTATTCACATTATCAGAAACTGAGATTTTTTTTTCCTGCTGCCCTTTTGAACACTGCTGGAACAGTGTTTGGAGATAAAATACATCTGACAACCACCAAAAAAAAAAGACAGCTCTGTGTCAATGCAAATTGGTATCTCCAACATGAAATTCAAGGCACTAATACAACTGTCTAGTTGTTGAAACACTGTCCTGATAGAATGAGATTTTTAGCATTTAAAATGTCTAAGTATACTGAGGAGGAGCATTCTACAGCCTAGCAGCAACATTTTATCAGATAAAATAAACATTACTGATTACAGGATAAGTATAGAATTATAATTAGTTTAAATTAGGTTAAGAAAATAACATTTTCTCTATTGTTTGTGGCTAATAGGGAGACAGCCCCAATCAGCAAGTAAAAGAAGGCCATGAGAACAACAAGTAGTATGACTTGTAGTGTAGAAAGGATGTAGGGTTCCAAATAATTCAAGAGCTGTACTAACAAAACAAAGACAAACTATCTTAAAAGAAACAAGCTCAGTTCTTCCCACTCATCTCCTAGTAAGCAAGGAGTGGGGGAGAGAAGACAAGAAAGGAAAGTCCTTGAGAACAAAGGAAGCTGTAAATCTTTTTTTGGATAAAAACTGGAAATAAGGGTGAATTGTCTCAAACAGTCTATTACTAACTTCAGCTAAAAACCAATGACATCTCTTCTTTGTTAAAATGTATAAACTCTTTAAGGGTTCATTGCAAATACTTGCCAGACCACATTAGAGTTGACCAATGTGAAGATAAGCACCTCTGGGATTAGCCTGTTTGTAAGTATCGTGATCAAATGCTTGTAAGTGTGTTACTATTTGGATGTTAATTAGGCTTTTAAAGACCTATTTAGAGCAACTGTATAAATACAATTTGGCCTTTGGATTTAATAAACGAATTTATGTTGAATTCATGTTTGGTGGTTTCCTACATCAATATGAATAATGTCAAATATTAATAATTCCAACAACTCTATTTAAACAAATGATCAGTCATGGATTTTGCCCTATCTACAGCCCTTTGCAAAACAGCAAGAGCCCATAACACTGTTCTCAGAGAAGAAAGACATACTAAGAATGTCTACACAGAACTTGGGAGCATGCTTCTCAGCTCCAGTAAACAGATGTGTGCTAACTCTGCTCTAGCCATCTGAGTACAAATCCACCTGGACTCTTCCGGGAACATACTCTGACAATTAGCCCAAGCTATTACCCATACTAACCCCAGCAATGTTGCTTTTTTTAGCATGCCAGCTTGAAAAGAGTTAGTACACCCCTGTCTGATACATAAATAAATTCCTCTTCCTGAAACAGCACAAGAAACTTCTATAAAATTCAAATACTCAAACATACGTTTTGTGAAGCTTTGATCACTATATCACGCATTTTCAAAAATAAATCTCATTTAACTGAAGAAGAAAAGAATTCCAGCAAACACTGTTTGAGTAAACTTTTAAGCACAGGAAAAAAAAGTATTTCAAAAATGTAAATATTTTTAATGGAGCAGGAGGAGGAAGGACGATCATGGAAAGGGGCCTACATTGGTGAGGAAAAGACTGAACTAAGGGTGCATTTTGAAAGTGTATTTAAGCTGTGGCTAAAGGAAGTCTGGTAATTTCTCTGGCTTGATCCCTCATTTTCATTCTGACAGAAATATATTAACCCCTTAATTGTGATGCACCACAAAGCATACTTTCCTCACAATCCTTTTGATCTGTCGTAGGAATGGAAATGTTAAATATTTTCAGCCTTAATTTATCTAAAAAGTAACTATTATGAGTGTTCACGACTTTCTTTAGTATAATTATGGCACCTAGCTAAAAACTACTGAAGTTGCTTGATTTAAACTGTACTTCCACCCGCTGGTGTAATATTTTCAGAAAACTGCCAGCGATTTAGGAGTGGAGAGACATTTTATTTTCAAAATTGATAGGGGTACTTTAGCTACCACAAGCCTTAAAAGCTTGAACTGCTTGGGTCCTGTTGAGCAGTCCCTTTCCCTCCCGTCCCTGCTTTTCCTGCAAGGGCTTTAAAAATATCCAATCTGTGGAGGGGGCGAGGACGACTCTGGAAGTGGCACTGTAGCCCCCCCCCAAGCTGGGGGAAGGGTCTGTTATAAGGCAAGCGCTGGGAGCTACTGAACCAAACTGTAACTCCTGGGTAGGATTGCAACGCACTTCAAGCCAGGGGAGCGGTAGCACCCTATGATCCCAGCTCCAAAATCACACACCCCACCCCTCCAATCTGTGGAGGGGGCGAGGACGACTCTGGAAGTGGCACTGTAGCCCCCCCCCAAGCTGGGGGAAGGGTCTGTTATAAGGCAAGCGCTGGGAGCTACTGAACCAAACTGTAACTCCTGGGTAGGATTGCAACGCACTTCAAGCCAGGGGAGCGGTAGCACCCTATGATCCCAGCTCCAAAATCACACACCCCACCCCGCCACTCAGCTAGTTAATCCATTGTGCTCTGCATGCAGGGGTTCAAA